CTCTACTTCCATTACCACTCATACACCATTGTCAACACAACTACTTCCACTACCACCACTATTACTACTACCAGCACCACTACCACTCTTACTACCACCACTACCACTACTGCTACGACCATTACAACTACAGCTTACATCACGACTGCTGCTACCTCTTTCACTGCTACTACTACCACCACTACAACGACCACTACCACGACCACTGACTTGTTTTTGTTACACTGCCCCTTCCCATGTAGCTGAATAAGGTAAGCCTTCTATTAGAATAGCATGTGTGATGTATGGGATTAGTGCTTCCTTTGTGTGTTTTCTTTGCTCTCTCTCCCATGGATGCTGGATGTTGACGTCACGGCACGGAGTCCACACTCACATGAGGTGCTGACAGCATTATTGACGCAGGGTCCCTATTGGGCTTGTGTGTTAAAACATACGGACCCTGGGCGAGCGACAATTCTCCTTTCACCTGCGTCCCTCGCAGCGCGCTACATATTCAGAGAGTTATTGCCGCTGTGGACGCAGTTGTCCCCGCGCACGAACTCGACAACGCGAACAAGCAGTCGGAATGACGTGCATGGAGTGTTCGGGGCAGCGCAGAGCTTCATCTGTGTAGTTTCACCTGCTGCATGCCGGAATAGAGCGAGAATAGAGGGAAGTGGTGGAGCTTGTACATAAATGTGCAATTAGGGAGATATACACACTCTCAACTGCTCTGTTTAGTATCTGGAATGGTTTCCTAACAGTTTCAAGATGCTCTGTTTTGGGGTGAAATCCATTTTTTCCCCACTTTAAAAAAAAAAGAAAAATGGCAAAAAGCAGTTCAGGTATGACCGGTCTCCTTCTATGACATAAAATCACCGGAGTTGTGCAATTAGCAGGCGTTGTTTGTGAAGTGATAGCATGGAGGAAAAGTGTCATGATAACACTGGAGCACGAAATGAAACTGAGATTGACATAGGATGCTTGCCATTTTGTTATATGCTAAGAGGGCTTTGTTTTGACTTTTCGCTGTGCTGTGGATCGCCCCACAATCAAGTAGATACCCTCTTCACGCCCCAGCAAAGAGATAAGATTTTCAGGTGAGGTTTAAAAAAAAAAAAAATGTTTTAAACGATTGTGAATCGACCAATACAGGACTGGCTGGCATGTAAGGGGTTAAAGACAGTTGCCAACATCTGCACTCGCCGCGGTTGGCTTTTAATTAGGAGGCCCATGGTGGAGCCAAGATGGCGGCTGTGGGGTGGCGTCAGAGGAGGTCTGGCAGGCCATGTATTTCACAGGGCCGACATGTGGCCTCAATGATAGCGTCCAGGGGCGCACTCGTCTCCTATGAAATATTCAATCTGACTCTGCGGACGGACCACCTGCGAGAGGGAGAGAGAGAGCGAGAGACGATGTCCCCGCACAGCAACAGGCATGTGTGTGTGTGTGTGTGTGTGTGTGTGTGTGTGTGTGTGTGTGTGTGTGTGTGTGTGTTCGTGCCAGAAAATAGAACAATATGCCTCAACCTTTTGACTAAAAGGCATCATGTGAGTCAAGTGAACATCAAAACTCCAATCAAATTCCACACATTTTTCTTTGCCATTTTTTTTTCACAAGTACAACCACCACCAGTACTGCCACCTTCAACACTACCACTACAACAGCTACTACTCCGATCACCACCACCACCATTATATTACTATACAGCGAACCCTCGCTACTTCGCGGTTCACTGATCGCGGTTTCAGTGCTTCGCGGATTTTTCAAAAGTATGCATCCAAAAATAAATAAATAAATAGTAAAAATGCCGCAAAAGGTCCGCGAGAGGCAGCAAAAGTCAGCAAAACGACAGCGAGCCACATAGAGCAACATATACAGGACTACATGTATATTTCATGTTTATGTTTACTGTATTTTGTTATTTACACACTAACCTAAACATCTTATACATGTATATATATTCACGTGTATATACATATATATATATATATATATATATATATATATATATACACACACACACACACACACACACACACACACACACATACACTGAACCCGCAACAAATGAACCGCGAAGTAGCGAGGGATCACTGTACTACTTCCACCACGACTACTATTCCTACCACTAGCGGAGCTCTCTCTCTCTCTCTCTTTTTTTTAAACACATCTCAAAACATATTTTTATTATTTGGCTCTTGACTCAGCATGAGAGTCATCTTTGTGTTAGGGTTTTATGGTGTTAACTGTTTTTATGTGATGAATTTATTGTTGTAACAGTCTTTGTTATTGTCTGACTAATTTTTATTCCATGTGCAGCACTTTATATGCAACAATGACTCTTTTAAAGTGCTCTATAAATATAGATGAGTTGAGTGCCATTACTACCACCACTCTCACTACTCCCATCACGACCACCACTACCAGCGCATTATTAACACAACATAAAAAGTGTGCCGAATACTGTCGACCAGGAAATGGAACTTACTGGGAGGAAGTAAAACATTGAACTCCTACAATATGAGCAATGCAATGTATTAAATATGCTGATAATATTCCATGAATTTCAACCAGCCTATGCTGAGCTACTTAGCATGCAACCAAAAGCAGTTTTTACACTGGTACCACAACTCACATTTTCAAAATGATACTGAAATTATTGTCTGCACACATAAACATATGCGTACAGCTTATAGAACTGCATACTGGAGACAGTGATATCCTATCTTCAGTGCAACGGACGAGAAAGCCATAAAATAAGTTAGCATTCCCAGTAAAGCCTATAATAAATGCAGCCAAAAAGACCTGGTGCTGGTCTTTGAGAGCCAGCTGTTTATGTGAAGCAGCTGGCCTGCACTTTCACAATTTAACTACAGGGGGCACTGTTGTCAAGGAACAAGCGTGGTGGGGGGGGGGGTATCAGACGACTTAACAGACAACAGCGACACCATGAGGATGTGTTGTCAATGCATGAGAGAAAAGTGACAGAAAATACCAAATCAACGGGATTCCTTCGAAAAGTATTTTTTTTAATGACGGGGATCGGGAAGTTTGCATGTTCTCCCCGGGCCTGCGTGAGCTTTCTCTCGGGGACTCCGGTTTCCTCACAAGTCCCAGAAACATGCATAGTAGGTTAAGGTTAATGGAAGACAACCCTTTCTGACCGAAAATCAACTTTTCAAGCAGCCAATCTCCCGCACACCAACACACACGCACAAACGCGCATAAGCACACAAACGCATATCCATGATGAGCAACAGTCATAAAAGATCATCATATGAACGAAGCACAAAAATAAAGTAGAAACAAGAAGAGAATGAGTTTCCGTAAAGGAAATAGCTGCCTACCTTAGTGGCACACCTGACACAGATAGGCAGCGGCGCACTTAGCGTGTTAATTGCAGACACATCACGATCGTGGCTCGCGTGTCCCGTTTTAAAATGTTGCTGGTGGTCCAGATTCCAATTCTTTGACAATTCCATCGGTAAATTGTAGATCAAACAAATGAGAAAAAAACGTCTCTGATCGCTAGCTGCAATTGCAGACTGCTGACCGCTAACAACTTCCTGTGATACAGGTCATGTGCCACGGTAGGTTAAAGGTGACCTTCTTTTTGAAATGTATTTTAAAATACTTTTTGGTGAGCGTGAAACTGACAGATGCAGTATACACTCACACAAAAACATATAATATTAATAACACACACACCTATTACCCCCCATTTGCTCCTTCACCTCTAGCGGGCAACTTGGGACCAGTCTGAGGACTACTGGTTGACCGCGATCGGCTGGTTGGGCCCTAATGCTCTAAATTCTACCTCGGTGTGATTGTGGGCGCGAATAATTGTTTGTCTCCGTGTGCCCTGCGATTGGCTGGCAACCACTTCAGGGTGTGCCCCGCCTAGTGCCCAAAGACAGTTGGGATACAGGCTCCAGCATGCCCGCGACCCTCGTGAGATAAACATTTTACGTTTTTAAAACCAACTTCAACTAACTATAGCAAAACAACAATGTTCTTCGTTCAGTTTTTGTTATACAGTATTTTTTTTGCCTGAGCTTTCGTGGTTTACTTAAAATTTATTACAGCTGTACAGAGGAAACAAGATCAAACAGTCGTTTGGGAATCGTACAAAATTGATTATTGTGCAATTCGTGACCTCAATATATATATATATATATATATAGATATATAGATAGATAGATAGATAGATAGATATAGTGCGGTACTGTACTGCATGCAATCTCGAGGTCGTCCTTGTTTGTCTAATTTGGTTCCTTGTAATATACAGCAGTGTGATCTGAATTTCCACTTGAGGGACTACAATGAGCATCGTAGAATAAGTAAATACATGAAATAATAAATGAAGCATTGTGAAAATTGGACCTCCCTAATTGTCATACTTGTCAAAGGCAGATGCTGTCACACGTAGGAGGCGCATTTGATACTTGCTTCCGTTGTGGTGACCTAAAATGGCCACAGGATGACAGTAGAGGACTGATGTATTTTGACTATGGCGGGAGCTCCCTGAATTCGGGCTCACCTGCGATCCAAAGGGGTGGGGGGAACGGTTATTTTTATCAGGCGTGAAGGTCACACACGCAACGCTTCATCATCATCATCACATAAGCGTTGAATGGTTGCATTTTCAAGGTGAAACCGTCCCATAAATATATCGACAGGTGTGTGACGCAAATGATGCCATTCCTTTGAAAAGAAAATACTTATGAATGGCTTTGCGTCATCACAAACAGACCAGTCATCAAGTGACTACTCGTCATTCCAGTCATGCCGGGACCGTTTACTTTGTCAACCCCGCCTCCACCTCTGCTGGAGACGACAAATCGATATCATCCTGCCACAGCATCTCCACCATCTCCTCGGCCACAACACAAAATTCAGATATGACGGCCGTCGTGACGTCAGCACTTAGCCGTCGCTCCAATTGGCTCGCGTCTAGAAGGGGGCGGGGCGCTCGCCATTGAGGAATTTGACGGCGACGTACGTACACACGCCTCCCAGATAAAAAGTGCACGCAAGAGTGGCGTTGTCGCGCAGACGAGCAGAGACGAGATTAGATTAGGCGACCCGGCTCCCTGTTTAGTGTCTTTTTGTCTTGTTTTGAGTTCACTCTTATTTTTTGTGGCGTTTTTAATGTGACGTTTCAACCTTAAATTTAGACATCGGTGGCAGCAGGTGCGCTTCGAATACATGTCTGTATTTCTTCGAACTGATTCAGGTGAGTTCCCCCCACCTCCCCCCTCCCATTTTAATAAGCATGTGCTCGTGCTAATTAGTGTCTTTTTTACGCGACTATTTTGACTCGGTGATTAATTTAATCCAATAAAGCTTAACCAGGTGATTCAAATCGGTCGCCGCACTCTTTACTTGACCCTAATGTGAGCATCAAAGTCAAAATCATTAAAAATGCATATTTATATTGTGTCATTTGTGTGTGTGTGTGTGTGTGGGGGGGGGGGTGAAATACAAGTTGGAAAGGTTCCGTCAAGTGATGTAGGAATACATTTTTTGATTTACGCCCTTCCAGGTCCTTCCCCCGACCCCCTCCCCTCCTCTCCATCAAACCTCGAGTTGTATAATGGCTGCAGGTGCACTGCAGTCACAAAAGAGGATGCACCCATTTATCCCATATCATTGATGTCCATGTATAAGTACGCTCTTTTTTCTCACGAGTAAGACAAACCGGCTCACGAGTAGAACCAACAAACCTTTTTTTTTATGCTACAGTTGTCCCTTTTGACCTGCAAATATGAAATAGTAAGACATTCTTTCTTCAATCGTGCATTGAGTTGATAATTTTTAAAAAAGTGCTTCTATAAAGCAATTATTCGCGAACCTTGACATTCATCTTAAGGTCCATGTACGCTCTTTGTCTTTGTACCTCTTTCTATGCTACGGGCAACCTTAACTCACCTCTGATATTGTTGTGGGTTTTCAGACTTCATATTGTGCATGTGTCGATCCTCCTTCCTGTCTCCGGGGAGGATATGCGAGGTGTTGCTTTTCGGTCTTTTGTTGGTGAGCTTTGTTCTGCAGGTTGTGGCCTCGCCAGGAAGTTCACAATCTTGTGCTGTAACACCAATATGCATCTGTACTTTTTGGGGGTGGAGGAGTCTAAATTTTCATAATACACCAGCACTAAAGTCAAATGCTCTGAACGTGTTAGTTGTTTGGAGGGCAACTAATCTTTATGATCATCTTTTTTTTGTTTTCATCGCAGAGTTATGTCTTAGTTACTCTCAGGGTGTCTGCTTATAACGGTTGAACTGTATGACTGTATACCGACAATCTTGGATTGTTTGGTACTTTGGTACAATCTTTATTTAATACAGGGAACAACAGTTGTCACTGTCTTCTTGACAAACACTATGGCCGCTGGCCTTAATCCTACCTGGGTCAGGATTTGATCTGCACCGTTGTAGCTTTAAAGTCAAGTCAGTATATGTACACGTGCGGTCATTGCTGAGAGCCACTGGTGTGTTCTGTCTGCTGTCGCTTTTGATGTAATCCATGTTCAACTTGATTACTTAAACGACACTGCGTCTGCACTTTGTACAATGGGACATGCGGTTCAGTCTTCCATGACATTTGGCAGCTGTAATAGAGAGACTTAATGAATGGAATGCTGTCTGTGGATTTATTCCATATCCTTAATATCCAACTTAAGGTCCGTACTAATACGCTCTATCCAAATCAGTGTGCGAGTAGAATAATCGCCTTGCTAGTAAGCTTTTTTTACCCCCCGCCTCCCTCACTGTTTGCCAGACAACTTGGAAACTCTTTGTTCTCACTAGGAAGACAGTTTTATAATGCTCGTCGCTAGGGCTGCACATCCCTCCAGCGATCCGATGTGTATCTGAACACATTGGCTGAGATAAGATTCAAGGATGGTTCAACGGGTCGGTTCAATTCAGGGGGATTTCGATTCGATACCGGACGGCTCAGTTCGAGAGGGTATGATGTAATGAGTTTTCTGTTTTCATTTCATACGAATGAATTTGCCCAGTACTGTAAATGTGACACCGTGCATTAGCCGTGTGCGGCTCTCCAATAAGGCGATTCGATGCGCATCTCGATATATTTTCAAGTGGAACGATACGCTCGATTCAAACTGGCTTTTGTAACACCCAGACTGATATAACAACCACATAATACCGGTAAAGCAAAATTGAGCACTAGTTGACCATTTCTAATAGTACTACCATTGCCGAAGGTCTACTTGTTAACATCTAGCGCTTTGCTGAATCGTCAAGCGTATTGAATAAGTGGCTTTATGAAAAGCCGTTGGAGCATTTGTTGAAGGGCCTTGATATTCATGTACTAGTATACACTTTGTCCTCACTAGTAAGACGGCAGGCTAGCAGAATTAGGATGCGTCAGTAGAATGTCTTTGGAGTACATTTTTCCCCACTACCGTATGACATTTCTCAACACTCGTCGGACAACTACATGTTACTAGTGAGGCAAGTCTGTGCACTTGAGCTCTACCGCACGACTACAATTGATATTGTAGAAATGAAGTAGCTTGGTTTGACAGTGTCGCTAGTAGCATTAGGCGCCGTTTTGCCTCGCTGTGTAGCGGTCCCACTAGTATGACAAAAGTTGTCCGATTTAGTTAAGGTCAATGAACTAGGATGATCTTAAGTTAAGAAAACCTTTTATTGTCTCAAAAGTAAGACAAATCTGTGCACTAGTAGAACTGTGTTTTTGTAAATGTTAAGGACAGTAGTTTATCTCTAAGGCTGTTTTGGAAAACATTGCTAATGGAGCAGTCATTCTACTAGTGGTTGAATTGTCTTCGTGGTACACGGGACATTAGGATGGATATCAAGGGGATCGAATAAATTCTCCAATGGCTTTCCATACAGGCTGGTGTTTGTGTTTCCTGACCAGTTGGACTTATTTGCCAGCACACACACTTCCTCCTCATTGTGCCCCCGTTTTGTTTTATTAGCCCAATGTTCTGTTATTCTTAGCCAAGCAGGATGTTTATACGATCCCCGTGTAGAAATATGACTGGCAAGGCCCGAGTGTTTATCTTTCTTCCTGCTTCTCAGGTCGTCACTGTCGCACTTCCCTGAGCATCCCTTGCTCTCTCTCTCTCTCTCTCTCTCTCTCTCTCTCTCTCTCTCTCCTCCTCCTGCTGCTTTTTTGCATGCCTGCCTCGTCTTCCTCTGCATCCCACTCACGGTTGAAATGACATCCACCGTGATGATCCGCTCAGCTCTCTCAAGCCCTATTCGTATTTATTATGACGTGGTCAAAGTTGCTCAAACAAAAACAAAGGGACCACTTACGATACCATGAGGAATGGAGATAGTCCAGTTTAAAATCTTGATTCATTACATAGCGAAATGTGTTGAAAGTCATTTCATGACTAAGTTGGGCTACGTAGAGTCAAATCAGTGCGACACGATTGGAGGTGTCCCCCCCCCCCCTTACAAAAAATGTTTGTCGACTGTTGTGGTTTCGATGCAGGTGACGTTTTCTGACCATTTACTACAGAAATCAATGTAATTCCAAAGGTTTTGCACACTTTTGCGCATTTTGATACGGGGCAGGCCGTGCATTTAAAGAAGCGCAAATGGAGGTTTCTCAATGCTAAAACGTTAACTGCTGCAGAGGAAAAAAAAAATTAAAAATGGTAAATTATTTGGTTACTGACTGCTAACTTGTGACTTGGGCAGATTGTGTGTGTGTGTGTGTGTGTGTGTGTGTGTGTGTGTGTGTGTGTGTGTGTGGATATACATAGGCGGTCCCGGTGGGCCGGTGGTTCAATTCCATCTCCAGCCTCCTTATGTGGAGTTTGCATGTTGTCCCCGGGCCTGCGTGGGTAGCACGTCCGCCTCACAGTGCAGAGGTGCAGGGTTCGATTCTGGCTCCGGCCTTCCTGTGTGGAGTTTGTATGTTCTCCCCGTGCCTGCGTGGGTTTTCTCCGGGTACTCCGGTTTCCTCCCACATTCCAAAAACATGCATGGCAGGCTGATTGAACACCCTAAATTGTCCCTAAGTGTGAGTCAAATCACTTAACAAGACTGAACACTTGACTTTGCAGCGCATGGCACCCCTGTTTGATGTATTTCCGTCAAAGCCATACTGTAACGAGTCGCCAAGGTGAGCCGAAGACGACATTTTACGGGCTGATGTTTTAGCCTGCCGTGCCCCGTCATGCCACAAAGGATGTATTGACGGTGACTCAACTTGATGATACTCACGCTTTCACAACCACGTTGCACACTCTGCCTGCGATGTCAGACTTTCCATAAGCGAGCAAAGCTCTGTGTGTGTAATTGAGACTGGAAAAAGTCATTAAAAAGCAGATGCAGTCTCTCTGTGTGTGTGTGTGTGTGTGTGTGTGTGTGTGTGTGTGTGTGTGTGTGTGTGTGTGTGTGTGCGCACGCACTTTAGGGGTTAATCAGCTGCCACTTAGTGACTTGTCATGTGATTGTTCCGACTCTACTGCACGAGGACAGAGCTTGACTGAAACTTTTTTTTTTTTTTTTTTTTTTTTTATGGACACACCCTTAAATGATATATGTATAGGCCATCAGAAATGTATCACTGTAGTAACTATTTACAACGGGCGCATTCATGATGGAATCCTACTTGAATGAAATCCCTGGTAGGATTCTACAAAGGCAAGAATGTCAAACCTGTCGCTGTCCAAATACTTTTGGCCTGTCGCTCGTCTGACCTCTCGCTAAAGAGGACTGTCGGTACACGGAGCGTGTTCGACACAAGCCAGACCCGTGCTCATGCATTCCTTTGGGGAGATGTTTCATGGTGTAATAGCCTTTAACAGTGTGTTCTCTGTGGATTTTAATGGGCGTCTGTAATTAAGGTTTTTTTTTTTTTTTCTCCATAGCAAAATGTTCCGATAAGACCCGAAGCAAGAACGTTTCTTTTAAATGCCATTGTGGCAAATTGATTCACTGTAACAAGCCTGTGCTACTTAGAAATCATGTGTTCATCACCATCCTCAAACACATCCGAGATTGAAAGCGGGTCAAATCTCCGATCGAGTCGGCTCATGGTCAGTGTCTTTTCACTGATTTTTTTGTTTTTTTATTGATTTATTTTTCCTCCACAGCCGTGCACGCTTCCCAAAAGTCAAAGCTGTTAGTGGCCGTCTACAACGGCAGGGCTTTAAATAGATGCCGTGAGAAGGCCCGCCGAGCATTTGCGTCCCGAGACTGCACGCGGGCCTCGCCGCCGCCAATCGTCGTAAAAGAGCAACAACATAAGACTTAGCTCGCGACTGAACTCGCAGGCATCCTCGTGCTACTTGGAAAGTTTGGTCAAGCTTTGATGGAACAAGAGTGCATCGAGTTCCTTCCCCAGTCAAATACCACAATAACCCCCCCCCCCCCGCCCTCACTCCCATTTCCCCCCTAGCGCACTCTCACAATGACTGTGGTGCAGTGCAACAGCAGCGTGCAGCTCTCCCAAGTGCATGAACACCGAGCGTATGCTGGCTGTGTTGTGGTCAGACCTTGTTGGCGTTCAGACGTTGCTTTTTTGTGCTTAGCAGCGTGTTTTCAAATAAAATAAATCCGAAACATATGATTCATCAAGCGTGACACCGTCAGAAAATGGGGTGCAACAAGGGTGATGTTCACCGTTAAAAAGTCTTGTCATTTCTAAAATCTCTTTGCATTGTATGTTTTATGTGGGCAGTTATTACGGAAGCGTGGAACTGCCAGTGCGCAGAAAATATTTTTGATCGGCGAGCTCGTTCAAGCGTATCGAAAGACATTCACAAGTGCGTTCGAACAGACTTCGTACGCTAAAGCTACAAAGGCGTAGCATTTTTTTTCTATAACGCCACGGCGACGGGATATCGACTTGCGCGATCAATTTTCTTATTTATTTTTAAGCGTGTGTCCTACATCATACCAATACGTTCGAAAGATAAGTAAATTAACATTGTTTGTAAATTTAATGTTTTTTTTTTTTTTTGCCACTCTTCCCCAACCTAGCGCGGAACGTTAGCAACAAAACCTTATTTGAACGCAAACACTTTCTCTGCGTTATTAACTTAAAAACGTAAGATGGCAGAAGTCCAAGCATGGCCCTCGCAAATGAAACTGTTGTTGAACCAACCTCCTGGTGAGCAACGACGGCCACCCCACCCGCAAGTCCACTTGACAATGATGAGTCAAGGCCCTCCATTTTGAAATAAATCTTCGAGGCGCGGTCAACCGAATGGTTAAGCTCTTTGATGTTTTTAGCTTTTTAGCTCAGAGCAAAACCCACCAATGAGCGTTTGGTTCCATGGAGCGGGCAGGCAAAACTTCAATGATTTGTTAGCGTTGATGCTAAACCTAGCATTTGTCCTTTTCCTCACAGTTCAGCGTTTGTGCCCGTCCGAGATATGACTGAGGTGATGATCAACAGCACCCCCATGGACGACATGAGGCTCAGTCCCACCAAGGACAGACTTTCTTTCCAGGTAAATTAAATCCCACAAGGTGCGCGCAAATGTCGCACACGTACCAAGACGGAATCGTGAACAGATACAAGACCGTTGTTGGGAGGAGTGATCCACTGGTTGCCAAAAAGACAAATGTCGCGTTAAGTTGCAGCGCTGTATTTGTTTGCTAGCCATTTCTAGAGCAGCTATTTCCTTTTTCTCAGACAGGAAATCCGGGAGACTGAATTCATTATTATATCCTCAAGTTTTCTAATTATCGCTAAGACTGAAGGAGGGTGTCACCGGGTGAAGTTTTCTAAAATTGTTATTTTAGTTATCCTTGTGACGTTAACCCCGCCCCCTTGGCTGTGGCAAATAAATTTAAATGCAAGTGATACAGTTTTAAAAAACTTTCGAGAAATATGGAGGAAGTTTCCCCCAATTCTTTTTTTTAAGGGCATAAGCTATTTGCATGTTGACCAAAAGCCAAAACCCGAGGAATTTTTTTTTATTTATTTATGTATTTATTTTATTTTTTATTCAATTGATTGTCATGTTTTTGAAAAACAATGAATTCTGCATAAGCACGGTTCCTTTTTTATTTTTTCTTTTGTTTTATGTCTATTTATTTTGGAACCAATCAGTTATTTACTGGAAAAAGGCATCTATTTGTTTGTGCTCGTAAATTGAGAATCTTAATTTTGATCAAATCAGTGCATTCCCGCTATTTTGTGGCATGGAGAGGCAATTTTTGTTTTAAAAAGAAAAATCAGATTCTTCATAGATTTTTGCACAAACACAGTGCTGCAAACAAAAGACTATTAAAACAGTACTTGCTTTTTTTTTTTTTTTTTGTCTGTGGTAATTTGAACGTGTCATTAGAAATAGTTTGCAAGGCCAAAATCGTAAAACTTTGCATAGTCTGGCGAGTCCTTCCCAAAGGCTCAGTTTTCAAAGTCTCCAAAAACTGCTTGTTTGGGGGAAAAAAAAAAAAAAAGAATCTTAAAAAATTTGTGCGCACGATAAGACGACCACTTGTGGAAATCGTATATGTGATGTTTGCACACAACAGCAAAGAAAGGATCATCAAAATATTACCTCTTCATTTCGTGCATGGCAGTGAAATAAACATGGTGAGAACATTCTGACCGCACTCAGAATCCGATGCGATGAGGGATGTCGTTATTTGGGGAGGGAGGAATGAGGTTTCCGTTAAGCGGAATTGCCTTGCCCGGAAATTCATCGTAAATTAGCGCTGCGGCCATTCGCGGCGGGCGAAGCCAGAGACAATCGGCCATCAGGTGGTCTTGACAAGCGCTTTCCAACAGCTTTGTTTCACTGTCAGCTCAACAAGGTCATCCAAACACACAGCTGCCGTACCGTTGTCGCATTTTGCCCCCCCCGCGCCCCAGCATCGACGCCGAGGGATGAATGTGACAGAGAGTTTACGATTTGGAATGCCAACTCCGCGTCCGGTAAAGGTGATGTCCGTTGATGCCCATCTTGAAGAGGATGTAAGCTTGACCCAGAGGAAGAGGCCACAACTTCCTCTCGCCACTTCACACACCAGCTGCGGGGAAGCTGGCACGGTTGCCAGGGAAACGGGTGCTAAATTGTGTAATCCTTACCCCCCACGACACACGGGCTTTCTGCCTCATGGTTCAAGACTCTCCTTCAACAAAACTCTGAACCAAGAAGCTCGGGGTGCCACTTTCGGACATCCGCTTCGATCGGTCTGAGTCGAAGTCTCCACTTATGCAATAAGCACTGATTTTGGAGCGGAGTTGTTTGATCTGGCATGTAACTTGAAATTCAAAGACTCGGCCCACCTGTCTAGCGTACGCGTTTCAAATGTGGTTGTGATGGGATGGGTGTTCCTTTGGAGGATTTCATTCAAGAACGGTCCCTGGAAAGGGCCAAAACCCTTGAAAAAAAAAATGGAACTTTCAAAGCCAAATGGCAGACGACCTGTTGTACGTTTACCACTCAAGACGCTTCAGAATCTGTCCCAATCCACTTGTGGCTTATAAAGTGAGTTTGCCATTTTATTGGGTTATTTCAATGTGTGGTGGCGAGTACAGGTAAATATCCTCAATTGAAACCCCAAAAGTTCTTGGCAAGTAGTGAACGGTTGGTCACGCTTTCTATTTCAGTTTCCGTTCCTTATGGGCTCTACGCTTATTCCTTGACAATCGCACCATGTTTCTGTGATCCACTTAAAAAAATTCAAGGATCCTGTGTATATGGAGCCTCAAATCCTGATACAGCGTCTCACTTCATTTGTTGCAGCGCATCAGTAGATGTGTTGTGAGGAGTTTCCTGTGCTGTATTTATTTTTTTTTTCGTGATAGTCCATTTCGGTCGTGCTCGGCTTTGTCACTCACTGGGCGGAATCTTTATTCATATCACACATGACCATCTCGTGATTTAGAAAAAAAAGAGTCTGATGAAAGGTTGTCAATCTGTGAGTGTGACATCATGACCACTTGGTCCCTTTTCATTGATTTTATTTCTGTTGCAAATTACAGGGAGTCCTTTGCTGACTGTCTGCCTTACGAGGTTATGAACTTGTTTGTGCAGCGGCGTAAGAATTGGGGCTCGCTGTCGGATAACAGGCGACAAATCTTGATGGGATTGTCGCACAATTATTCGCTGTAATTCTACTACTGCTGCGTTAGCGTACGTTAGCGATGGACAACGGTGTGTTCCGACTTCGGGGTATGTCAGCGCCTCAGCAACGTAACTCGGTCATAAACCAAAGAGCCCTTTTGTATATTTTAAATTTGACACAGGCGAGTAAATGTTTAAGCGTTCGCAACAATGAGTTTCTCAACTGTCCTCGCATATCAAAGGCGCGCCGGTTTGGTCCTGTTGGTACACAACAACCCCAAAATAGCAACCGATGCGTTGCCATCGCTTCCTGCCGCTGTTCAGTGAAACGAGTTGTGACGCGTGTCCAAAGGCAAAGTCATTCGATGTCCAACCCCCGCCCACGCCGTTTCAGTGAGAATAAACTCCCAGTGATGGACTCTTTATGTTTTCCTAACCTGATAAAATTCTCACAGTCTGCACAGAAGAAGACATATTTGCTGTCTTCTCATGCGTTTGATGGAATTCCTGGAGGCTTGGCCACAGCTGCTTCCCCTCTCTCTTCCCCTCTCTCTCTCTCGCTCTCTTGGTCTCTCACTCTCTCGCTCTCTCTCTCTCTCTCTCTCTCTCTCTCTCTTCTCATCTAATGCTTACTTTCCATTCGGCACTTTGCCCAGACGCTGACCCACCACCCTAAAACGTCTCGGAGTGAAATATGAAGGTCTAAAAATATTCATCCACTTTGTCCAAACAAAAATGCTGTTCTTGGACCTGGAGCGTTTTTTTTTTTTTCTTCCCCTCTCCCCCGCCTCTTGGGTTTATTCGCCGGTTCCTGAGAATTTGCAAAAGTTGGAGGTTGTCAAATCTCAAATAATCTTTGCTGTCTGGGGCTTTGGCCAAACATTTGACGACTCAACCTGATACCATGTTCTTTCCTCAAGCATACCCCCCCCCCCGCCCCTTTCTCCTAACTCAAATGTAATATACTCGGTGCTGACTTTTGAAGTGTGTTGTTTCACTCTCGCTTTTTACGAAAGGGCCAGTTTACTATCGCTCATTTTTCCCTTGTCTAATCTTCCGTTCTGTGCCGGATGAGTTCATAACGAGCCACGAGCCGCTTGGCGCGCCGCCCCCTCGCCTGCAAAGCACTTCAGATTAAACACGATGCGGCGTTTTGGCGCTAAGTCTGTTGGACATGTTTAATTTGCCACTGATGTAACTCGTTATGTGTGCGAGGTCGGATTTTGCGGAGTGATGGAAGAATATCATCAGCGGCCATGAATATCCAATTACCCAGGGGTGTAACGGTCCAGCAGAAATCACGGTTGGGTACTTTCCTTGGTTTTTATGGTTACCGAATGCTTCAGTTTGATGGATGCAGTCGGGGATCATGCTAAAATTCAAGTGAATGAAATGAAGTTAGCACATCGCTAGCTGTGACGTCAGAGGCTGAGCTGCGCTGTATTTGTTTTGTGGCTTGAGCGCAAGGCAGTTACACTTCCTGTCCCTTACCTAATGCTACATGTTGGGCTTCTTCCCGTGCCTGCGTGGGGTTACTCTGGGTACTCCGGTTTTCTCCCACATTCCAAAAAAAACGGCATAGTCTAAATTGCCCTGCGATTGGCTGGCAACCGGTTCAGGGTGTCCCTCCGCCTACAGCCCGAAGACGGCTGGGATAGGATCCAGCACGCCCCGCGACCCTTGTGAGGATAAAGCGGATCCGAAAATGGATGGATAGATGGATGCATATTATGACTGCCAATAACTTACTTTTGTCCATAAATTGATTGATTCAAACTATGCTAACTGTGTGCATTTCGTGGGCTGTCCTCGGCAGATCTTCCCTGACCCGTCTGATTTTGAGCGCTGCTGTAAGCTCAAAGACCGCCTGCCCTCCATCGTGGTAGAGCCCACGGAGGGCGAGGTGGAGAGCGGCGAGCTGCGCTGGCCTCCTGAGGAGTTCCTGGTCAGCGGGGAGGACGACGACGATGATGACGAAGCGGAGCCCAACCACAGCGGCGTCCAAAACGGACAGGCGATGGCAAACTCCCAGCACTAGGAGCCGCGTCTTAGCTTCCGATGTCCACCCCAAACCCGTTCACACACTGGTCACGCTGCACCTTACCCGGCTGACTCCACCCAAAAGAAGCAATACACCAGTTTTGTCGCACTGCCATTCGATGGGACGCCGTTCGCACACATGAGAAAAGACTGGGCGTTGGCACGGCGCTAGCACTGGGGCCACGAAATGGTCCCCCCCGCCCCCTCCCCTGAAAACAGGACTTGCTCTTAACCCTCCAACTGTGTGTTCACCCTCTGGATTGCTGTTAAGTATTTGTCTTTGCGCAAGAAGATTTAGCAGTTTTCTGTGATTTTTGTGGATGTCGAATGTGCTGATATTTTTTTTTTTCTCCAGTCGAAAGTTAAAATCTTTGTATTACTTGTGAAGCACTAGTTAATAGATTTTTGTAAGTCACTCTGAGAAGTAGTAGCACGTAGATGTTAACTAGTGTTGTCAAATTTTGCTTCATTTGTAATACATGTTGGTCTACTAGTGAGAACAAAGATCTTGAGTGCATGGGCATGAGACTCGATACTCTGTACTCACCGAAGTCACAATCCAGCACACGAGTAGAATGACTGTCTTTACTTGTCCTTTTCCGACTGCCGACTACTACATTAATTTGTGACTAGTAGGGTGCATGGGCATGTTGGTGCGTGACACATGCCTACTAGTGTAGCATGGTTGGATATTACAGTTTAACTGCGTAATACAGTAGTAGGCCAAAAGTGGATTTAGTAGAAAAACCTTGACAGTAAGACAGCCTTTGTACTAGTGCACTGAATCATCCTACTCGTGACGGCATGTACATGTTGGTGACGAAAACGGCTTTAGTTGACAACTACGTGCTAGTTCTACTAGTGCGCTTCACTGCGGCGGTTTTAAGCAAGTGAGCGAAGGAAAGGAGGCTACCGTGCCAACCGGATGCTATTTGCTCGCCCTGGGAAGCCTTACGACTCGACTGTGTGCAATTTGCAACGGTTATTTGATTTTTTTTTCCCCTCCCCCTCCAACCCTCCACTGAGCTAATAACGTATAATGGTTTCAGTCGCAAGTGAACACTCCTTTCTATTCCAACGCATTTCTTTGGGAGCAACTGTAGTTTTTGCCACCACGCAGCTTTGATATGTAGGCCATTCAACACGTTCCACCTTTGTTAAAATGTCACGTTGGTTTTGTCCACTTGTTCTTCTGACTTGTCATTCGTGTGGCATTAGGGCTGTGTACAGGACGTCCATCTTTTTTTTTCCTTTTCTCTATAACCGAGCAGGTTGTTTTTGTAAAGCTCAGGGAGAATAGCTGCCATTTTTTTTCCATTGTATCTAGACCACTGTTTTTTCTTTCTCTGACTGTTACAGAGGCTGTAAATAAACTTGAATTTGCTAACCCAACTGTGTGGTATTTGGCCTACCTGCTCTTCATCATGTACAGAGAACTTTTGGGTTTGGTATCAAAAGGTCTATTTCTGCTTTTTAAAAAAGAAAAAAAAAACAACCAAAAAAAAGGCAATTAACAGAAATGGGGGGAAAAAGATCCACATTAACGCGCATAGCAGTGCTCAAAAGACTTTGTTTTGACAGACTGAAATTACAGTTGTCATGGACCAGTCGTATACTGAAGTGTTATTGCGCTCACCGTTGACAATTTACACAGCGCTGACATGGTGTCATTTGGCTTGAGAGGAGGACATAATCCCTGGCGTGCTTTCCATAAACACAATCACAATGACACAACTTAAGACTCATAAAATTGGGCTGCATGGAAAAGACTAATGGACAGGAACTGGGAGGGTTTACCGGGAAATAAACGACCACTTCCTTATCACTGGAGCACTGGAAGTGACTGTCATGAGTACAGTATACTGGGAATGCCAGCTGTTAGCTTCTTGTGCTAGCTAGCAGGTAGCCATGTAGCGAGCATCCAAATAGTTAACTTCCATATGCTTGTCACTGGTGATGAATAATGGCTAGTTAGCTGGGTACCTTTTTAAGTCAAAATATACCAAATTTGGACAGTGTGGTAGCTAGCTACATTACATATACAAGCAGCATACCCGTATAAGAAAATATTTGCATTTTTTCACAAATATATGATTTTACTTTGCTTTTTTTTCCCCTCCTTCCCTGCTGGGGAAAAAAGCATAGACCAGCACAATGTTGTTGTGAATTGGTGCTGGTGTCACCAGCTAGTATAATAGGGCAACATGAGCAACACAGAAAAAAAGACGCTACATTGTGATCATAAGTGACAGTATAAACATAGCAGCTAACCAATCTGGAACTACCTAGCTAGCCAACAAGTTAGCATTAGAAGCTAATAACACTTACTGACAACCTGATTTTAATTGCAACTCATTGTTACAGGGTTACTCTGAAGCTAACATGTAGCGTTCTTCTGTAAGTGTTTCACTGATAAAGCTTCTTGCTCATTCTCGGAATTCTTTCCAATGGAAACAATGTTAACACTGATCCCGGAGTGTCGGCCGAGTCTGACCTGACGACCAGTCAACAATACTGTACTGGCGACTGGTTGTTCACATTAAAATGACTTCCTTGAACACACACACACACACACACACACACACACACACACACACACACACACACACACACACACACACACAACTGACACTAGTCCCCACATAACATTAGTCCACAAATTTCCTTGTAGTAAGTCATGAAGGGAAGGAGAACACTTATCTGATGTACCGGTACTCTTTTTACACTCTTTTTACAGACTTTCCCAAATATTTTAATCTACGGACTTCACTTAATATCCCAACAGGCAATGGTGGATTCTGCACCTAAAAATTTGTTAAAAACTGATGTCAAACCCAACTCAGCAGAAAATGTGTTCCCCAGTGTTATGAGCGTGTTGGGCAAGGTTCTGGTTATGTGATCATTTTACTTCATGAAACCTTGACTGTGGATGGTATGATAAACAATGACTTCTCAATTACAGAGGCTGTTATGACCATGGGTGTACCTACACGCCTACATTTGCGGGCACCAACTCATGCGCACGTGGCCGTCACGTGAGATTATATGTCACTCTGACCATCCCGTTGAATAATTTCTGGCTTCCGCCCATGCCAACCGACTTGTCTCACCAACTCTCTACCGCTTCAATTGATAAACCTACGCAGTCTAATACAGCCTTTCCCAAACTGTTTGAAGCCGCACACCCCTTCAACATCTTGACTGAGTTCCCATGCTTCATCCCGTGTGCGAAGCAATAGACTGTTCAGCTTTCAGGACACGATGCTCAAAAAAAAAAAAGAAAAAAAAGGGGAAAATAAGTTATTAATAATAATAAATTGCTTGGAAAGGGCCAGACAGGGTACATATGTGGCACGTAATAGACTCAGAACACAAGTAGTGAACAAGTGGTGGACCTCATATTTGTGTTTATATGTCTCTATGCAGGCAGGATAATTCCTGGTTCATGCAGTATTACATAAGATGGGACGGTACCATTTTTGATTGGATCAACGGAGTCTCTATAGTTATGTGGAATGTCCGAAATGTTCTTTTAGTTATAATTACAGTTAAACAAATTACTTGTGTGTATTTACATATTTGGCCAATAACGCGGTGTCTTTCCCTTTCCACACAGTACAAGCATGACATCATGTTTTAAATTTGCTTTCAACTTGGTAAAACCACAAATGGTTGCTCATTTTCACATCGTGTTCTTCTTGTTCCTCCATCAGGTTAATTTATCATCTGAACTGGTTCAAATCTCCGGAATGGATCTGCTGCTGCTGATGATGATGATGATAATAACGACATTGATGTATATCTCCGGACTCCAACGCAGCCTCTTTTTAAAGCCGAGTGTGTGTCATTTGTTTCTTCTACCCGCCGCAACACCGCTCTACTGTTACAGATGATGTCAGCGTGTAGTGATGTGTGTTCGTTGTGAGGGAAGCAAAGAGACATGCTGACAGACAGGCTGAAAAGCGACAGAGAGAGGGGGAGAAAGCACTTAGTCCAACTCAAGACTTTTTTCCATGACCTTGTTCCCTGTGGCATGCACTCTATCTGATTGACCAGATGAAGTCTTATCACTGTCAAGGTCATTCCAGATTTTTATTTTTTATTTTTTTAATAATGTTTAAGAACAACAGGTGATAAATGCTGTCTTGTATAATTTGATTCGTCCGTCTTAATCATCAATAATACACTATTTTATTCATTTCATATATTTTGCTGTTTTTGGTGCGACCCCTGTCAGGCATGTTGAGGCACCTAAAAAACACATTTCAAAAATATTGCTGCATAAATCCTTTACAATGAAATGAATTTGGATTTATGTGACTACTAATTTCATTTTAGTGTTACTGTAACTAGCTGAAAGCATCATGGCTATTAACAACGCGCCTCTTTAAGGGCTGAGTGGTTTTACTTTACCTTAGTTTTGTTTAACTTTATTAAACAAGGGCTAACCTCTCTTGTGGACAATAAAATGTTACCTCTTTGCTTACACAAATTAAATTTTACATCAGTAGCACGTAGCCTAACGACGAATGACTATCATGAAAATGTTCAGATGTCAGTATTTGAAAACATCACTTACTTGTCCCTCCCATTGCTGGTGAGTAGTTATGCTTTATTTTAGTTTTTATGTGGTTGTATCATACACTGGTGACTTATGTTTTACTCTTGTTCAAAAGTTAGGAATGTGAAAATGTGACTTAAAACATGGTCTGTACAGCTCATTATGCCGAAACAGATGTATTTACTTTACGTTATTTTCTATTGGATCATTTGGCCATATGACATTTGATCGTGCAGTTTTGTGCCAGAAAACTCAACCGTTTCTCTGTCCCCTCCACCCTGGTCTCCATTTAATCAAACTGCCAGAATAAATGCAGAAAAGGCGCATGACTTCAAGTTGGACTGGACATGCCTGTTATGTAAGTCAACGTGGGAAAGACAAGAATGACTTTTTTTGGGCATCGCCTGACGTCTCCTTTGTGGCTATTGATAGCACTTTGAACTTGTTCTTTTTCGATCAAGAAAAGGACAAATAAGTTTGTTATATTTCACATTCCTCCTGTTAGGGTTTGGGTGTGACCCCAAGAGCACGACAACAGGCAGGTATTGTTGAAGCCAACACTTGGCGTAGTTTATTCGAAGAGTCTTCGCAAAGTCACTCAGGAGGAAGCACAAGGAGTCCACAAGGAATTGTCCACACAAGGAACAAGCAGCTGTAGGAAATGGCAACAAAGTCCACTGGCGTGGTGACGGCACGAACTTGCACTGAGGAATGGTCTGTGAGTCAATATGTACCAGTCCAAACGAGCAAATAGGCAACAGGTGGGTGATGAGCTGACGAGTCTCAGGTGTGAGGTGCAGAGCACCGTGGCTGAGGAGGCTGCCTGGCTGGCCCCTCCCTAACACCTCCGTTTTTAACGACCTCCTTAGGTCTTCTCGTCTTACCGCCGTGTTTCCTCGTCACGTCACCTGGACTTGCATCTGCGATACCACTGTTCCCTTTTAGAGCTTCTCTTTGTAGTTATATCATGTGTTATATCGGCACATTTATCTATCCCGCATCCCTCCGTGCACCCCTCCATCATCTCAAGATAAGACTGACAAGAATGGCGAAGACAAAAGATGCCTATTTAAATCAACATGGATGGCTTTTCAGCCTGAGGGCCACTATACACATCCGAGTACTCGTATATAATACTGAGACGACTACTCAATAATGTAAAAGTGCTTCCAAGTCACTTTTCCACTGCAGTAACGTACAGTTACGGCTCAGGTTTCCATGTCACGAAAGTACTGTGAAAAATTTTACACTCAGGGGACATATTTTACCCTCGAGGAGACTGAGGGCATCGTCGAAACAGGTTTGTTGTAAAGTGAAGTCCGTGAAGTATCATGCTGCAGTGTATAGAGCGAAGTCAAAGCAAGAGGGAACCAAATAGTCTGAAGCAGACGCCCTTTATCCAAGACGGGGGTGTTTTAAACAGTCCCTGACAACTGTCAGCATTGTAGGTTCGCGAAGAAAGATGTGCCTGTCTTGAAAGTACATCGTGAATCTTGAAACAGCGTAAGAATGGCCATACATACTAACCATAAGGAACAGAAGTCAGAACAGGAAATTGATAGTGACTGTTTTAGAAAATACATTTTTCATGTTCTTGGAAACATTAAGGATAAATCATCCATTTATGAATGTCAGACAGGATATTAATACATTTTGAAAATATCTGCATTTCAGGAATATATGAAACATAAAAGGACAGGAAATTAACGGAACGTATCTTATTGAATGGGTTTAAATCCAGACTGAGCACTTGGGAAAGCCTCCTTAACATGTAGCCGTTTTGTCTAATTTATACGTCATTTCAAATTGCATTGAAACTGTCACTTTTTGCTGACATTTATGTCGTTCTAATTGTGTCGAAACGTAATCCTCTGGTGAGCAAGGACGGGACAGCACCCCCTGTCGACGGCCGGCTGCAATAACAGTTGGAAGGGAGCAAGTTGAGAGGTCGCGTTAGCAACGAGGTGACACTGCTTCAATGTTTATTTCAGCTCCTCCTTAATCCAAAACTAACAAGAAACCCACCGACAAACATCTGTTTTCCACCCCCAATTCAGGCTCCGTAGTATTCAAAGGGACATCTAGCCGGTAAGCTTCCGTTAGCCCAGCAGGTTGCTATGTCGCAGGGAAGCGGTTGGACAAACTCGTCTGAGCTACATCGCTTTATTTGAAAAGCTCGTCAAAAGGTGAGTTTGTCCACGCTCGTCATATTGGTGTGGATAGGATATTCTGTGCTACTTGCTGGGCCTGTTGGTCGAGCGGCACAGTGTAACAAACAATTTGTTTTTAGTTCGATTCGCCGAGTTAGCTTAGCATTCGGGTGAGGCCAGATATTGAAGCAACACTTGGCGGTGGGGTGGGCAGATTACAAACTGCCAGATCGCGCTGATCGTGCCTAGTTTGAGTCTCGCTGTCGTTAAAAGTGAGTCACGTTTGGAGGAATGTTGTTTACAATTTCAGCAACCACCCCACCTGCTATTTCATTCAGCACTGGAACCACCTCGTCTTATATTTTCGAACTTCGGCTGCTTTTGAAATCACGCCCAAGCCACCTGTTCCCAACCCCCCCCCCCCCCCCCCCCCCCCCCCAAAAAAAAACCCCACCCCACCTAACGTTGTTGTTTTCATATGTTTCAACATTAACACTGCGCCTAAACATAATGAAAGTATTAAAAATGGAAATAATCATGATATTAAAATTCATTGCACCTAAATGTTAAATACAACCGAACTGCTCTAAAATGCACTCCACTCTAATGGATGACAAATGACCCCAAGCTGAAGCTATAAGATGCTAAAACTGAAATTCTGCAGTTTTAACATTTATTTTTTGCAGTACTTCTCAGTTAGTTTCTGTTTTGCAGCCATCGGAGGAAGAAAACATTTCTCCACTATGTCTATCAATAATATTTGTCCATGAAATTGTCATAAGCACACCTCTGCAAAGCGCGTTCGCTGCTGTCTACACGATGGGGATTTTAGGTGCGAGTCTGAACTCTGCTGCTCACCGTTTTTGTAAATCAAATGTCCCCCAAAAAGTGTGACTCGTGTTTTTAATTCGTTCATCACATTGCATTTTTTTGACTGGTCTGATTTATAATCTGAAGTGATTTACAGTCCAAAAAATTCCGTAATTATAATTGCTTCATTTTTAGTTTCGCAGTTGAAGACACTGTAAAGTGAATTATTAAAAAAACATGTGCAAGGAACGAGAGCTTAATCATTTGCGGAGCTGTCGCATTCAACGTTTTCATTATTTCATTGCGGGCTAAATCGAGTCCTTGAGTATTTTGTATACCTTCAGTAAAAAAAAAAATTTCTGCCCGACGATTTGGTATACACCGTCTGGAAAACGAGTCAAGCCAGTCACAACAACAGTTGTTCATCCGACGCCTCGCAAAGGCCAACTTCATAATAAGAGTCCCAAATAATAAATGGACATCAATTTATTTTAAGGTTGGCCCACACGGCAGCGTGTTACTTGCATGCATTGGATGAACAATCGCGGTGGTTTAAAATGACAGACTTGTCTTGTATGTTGCCAAAAATGGTCACAGTCAACCCGAAGGGGTAGTAAAAATGAACAGGGCCCGAGGGCTCACAATATTCAATGTAGCCGAGTGTGGCATTTGGATCCACGCATTGCGTCCTCCAGCTGTTGGAAGCCGAGTTATGACACACCACTGCAGGGCGTCTCCAGAATGACACATTCAGCGCTGACATGTTCAGCCTATTAGGTATAACCTTTGAGAGAAAATAAATGTACTTCTGATTGGAGACCCGCCAGCAGTCGTTTAGCTGCTTTGTGAGTTGCACTGTCAAATGAGCTGGCTGGCTTTGTGGTGTACTGTCATTGTTGGTTTAAGACTGACTGAGTGTTTGTATAAGCAAGTGAGATTTTCATGTTCATCTCTCATGTTCCTGTATTTTTGTTGTTTTAACCTCCCACCACCTTTATATATTTTACCCATTTAGTTCATCCACAGACCTCTTCAGATGTTTAATACTATGGGACATTGTCTCCTCCATGTGACCCAACTTGCTTTTTTTTTTTTGTTGTTGTTATTTATTTATTTTTTTTTTTTGTGCTTTGTGTTGCAAGTGAAATTGGACTCTGAATTACGCCACTACTTGAAGCAAGAGAACAGCAACACTCACCAATGCATTTTTCAGACGGGCAGCCAAACACAAAAATACAAAATGAACACAACTGCAAGGAGCATGCAGCAATCATGGAAAATTGCCAACCACAGCTGGAGTTCGAACTCCTGACATCACTGTTGGTCTAACTCAGTGTTTTTCAAACCCTGCGCCGCGGCACACTGGTGTGCCTCAGCAGATTCAGAATCAGTGCAAAAATTTAAAAAAAAAACTCGAGAAAAATGTATGGCGTCTCTGATTGAAAAATGTAGTCACAATTTGTTGACCAGCGCTTCTTGTTCATGCCTCACATTTTCCATCATTTATGTCAGTACTGCCTACATGCAGTTTATTTTTTTCTCCCCTTAATAAACCTTCAGAGTTTTTGCTCGCCACACAGTCTTGCTGCATCATGCTGCTTTCGATGTGTGTTTGTGTGTGTCGTCCAGACCGAGTGATTTTACATATATATATATATATATATATATATATGTATATATATGTGTGTGTGTGTGTGTGTGCGCGCCTGTGTGCGCCCATGGCGATAATTGAGGTGGAAAGGTGCGAGCTGCAATGTGCACCTGCTGGATGAAATAAGTCCCTGTAGCGTCGGCTCTGGACTCAGGCGCGTCAGCGGGGCCTTATCAATTCAGCACTCTGCAGGGCCTTTTCACCTACGCTCGGCAATCATTGACTGGCAGCGCTGCTACGTTTACGACTGGCCAAGGTTATTTGAAATATTTAATAGGTGGCGCACTTGCCAGTTTTGCATTTATATTTTTGTGTGGTGCTTTTCAGTTGTGGTTACCCCAAATAAACCGAATCCAAATTGACGTCAACGGTCAATCAGGCAATGTTTTAAGAATTTTTTTTTTTTTGTAATTAAAAATGTTAAAACTGGTCACTGGTGAAACCCCGACAGCCATTATTTCTGAGAGCAAGGCCTTCACACGCTACCAAAAATTGAGAGCTAATGCCGGATGGAGAACTTGTTTGAGGGGAAGTTGGAGTGGCAGATGAGGGGTTATTCCATTGACGCCAGTTTCACGTTTCACAGCGAGTCATCGAATCTTGCCAACCGCACTCAGTCCGACATCCTTTCACTAAAACTTGCATTCTGTGCGAATCACAGATCTGTTCAGTTTACAAGCAATTGGAAAAATCTCTCGGGCTACTTCCTCTTGGAAATGCGCGTGGAAAAGATTCTAATATGGCTGCTTTCGACGAAAGTGACACTTGTCATTTCAGGAATTTATGATAGACACGGCGAGTCGATTTCATGCTGGTAAATGAAACTTACTTCAGGGCCTGAATTTCCCAAAGCTCTGGGACTCCATCTTTGAAATGCACATGGAAATGGCCAAAATATCCCCAAATGGCCGCTTCTAACAAAAATGGCGGACTTTCTGTGTTTTTTTTAAGGAATTGCTTCTTGAGTCTTGTTTGTGGTTCTACTCATGATAGACTTGGTGTTCCAAATTTTATGGCTGGGAAATGAAGCTTATTTCTGAGGCTTCTTGCGTCATTTCAGTCATGAGTTCTAAAAAATCGAAATAATTCGGGAAGGACTGAAACATATTGAAGAGTAAGAACTGGCAAAGCGAGTACAGCTTTCAACCGGTTCAGAGATATCTGGCGTTCCGCAACCATATCTCAGATCACTGATATCGATCTCCCACACAACTGTTAAACCGGTACGACTGTTTGGGGCCTAAATTTAGAGAACCACCGTCACGAGAAAAAGGCAGACATTTGTTAACGCTTTCTTACGAGAAATACGTGACCCAGTTGGGATCAGCAACCGCGAGTTATGCAGAAGTACAAATTAGCAGCCGATAGAACAGGAAAGGATTCAGAGACGCTGTCGCTCTTCCAAAATCGACTCATTTCATCACTGACCGTCGCCCCGCAAAATCCGAGTTATATGACCACAGGGGTCATTCGAAAGATTGATAAAACTAGAAATGGACTCCTTTTTAAAACAACGTGTCAACGTGTGTGTGGTGAGCTTCCAATTGGACCTTCCTTGGCATTGTTTTGGACCACGTTGGAAAGACCATGTGCAACGCAGCACATGTTCCACAAGTGCAAAATGAACCCTGGCGTGTCAATGAGATGACAAAGGATTGTCATGGGCACTTCAAAATGAGCTGGCTCACATCCATTTGCGTAACAATTGCCCATCCCGTTTCTCGGTTTTGCTTTCACAAGGATCGCAGGCTTGCCATCCCTTCGGGATCCAATGGCCATGTGGCGTTCCGGCTATGTGACGACTACTGCTATAAACTAGCGATGAAAAGACTGTTGAGCTCATGAAGTCCGTGCAGGGGAGTCGGTTTAGTGTGGCCACTTTGCATGATAATTGGGTGTTTAGTGTTCTATCTTTATTTTGATGGGGATTGAAGGGAGGCGAATACAGATGTCGCGTTATTGTGGCTCTCATGGGTTAGCTCTTCCTGGCCCGCTTCTACAACTATGATCGCCACTTGACATTCAGCACAGCGTTCTCGTTGTGTTAGATTACGGCGTCTTTGGCACACATAATCAGATTGGTGACTTTGAGCTCGGCTGTGATTATCCAACTGGAGTAGGTGGATAATCCGCACCTTGCGACACCCTTTGGCATTCTCGTCGAAACCAATTCAGCGCATGGCGTCATCCATAGGAAGATACCAAACACATTGTTGAGGTGATGTCGCGCTCCCGTGCGGGTGCGGCTAAGACAGTAGAAGACGAATCAAGTATTTTGGATTCAGGAGACTTTCCTCCGCACCTGTGCGACCCCCTGTAGTAGAACTTTGACATTTAACAGTTTTCACGTGTATCTTATAATTAACTCTTAAATTGTATCACGCATCCTGCTATCTCTCAGTGTTGCTATGTAAGTTTGTTGCTGTGCAAGGTTGTGTGTCAGACTTTAGCCCCTCCCCAAAAGGAAAAAAAAAAGATATAATAGGGGCTGCACCCATGGATGGATGGATGGATGTTATAAATTGAACTCTTCACAGTCATGGTCCCTATCGTGATATAATCTAAGGTCTAAAGAATAATAATCGAAGTATCATGTTATTTAAATGGGAAAAGCAAAGATTTTTTAGTTTGAAGAATTTCCAAAAGGAACACCTGGACAAATTGTCCTTTATCGGCTCAGTATTCTTTGTTTTATTTTAGCCACTGCACTGATAAATCTACAATTAATCAGCCCCATTCCACTTATCTACATTCGACTCAAGGAATGTCCGCTTTTGATTTTTCCACTGTTTGCGGGGAAAATACACCAGAAGAGCAACAGAACAGCATGCAGTGTTCGGGACACTCCAATTATGTGTTTCGCAAATCATGAGAAACTTCTGCTTCTGTTCTGTCCGTTCACCTGAGAAACTGTTTGACTTCAGGCATTGAAACTAAAAGAGGTAAATGATTACTTTTTGTCTCTTCACAGATGGCCGTGTCGGTGCGGGGCTTGTACTTTGTACTGACCCTGTTCTTGGCCAGTTTCTTCGGGAGCGTCTTCATGCTGGGTCCGGTCTTACCGCTCATGCTGCTGTCCCCCGCCTGGTACCGCTGGATTACCGACCGCATCGTCGCCACCTGGCTCACTCTGCCCGTGGTGCGTATGTCTGCTCGGCTCTCACTTGACCTACTTGCGGCTGCATCGTAGTTTTCTTGAATTCAGATTTAAAAAATTAAAAAAAAATACACATAGGTTTTTATCGCTTCCTCGATGCAGCTTGGATTTTAAGTCGAACACTTTTCCACGATTGAGCGGCTTTGTTTTGTCTCACTGAACTTAAGACAGTGAACCCAACATTTGCACACACCTGCCAAAAATATAGTGTTATAATCCCAGAAAGTATGAAGCAAGCCTCTGAAGGCAGTCAGTCAGCGGAAATAAGAGAAATTTGCCCACACCTGTGGAATCACCACAGGAATTACCTCCTTATTTAGTAGCGGCGCGTTCTGTGCTGCTGCTGGCTATGCCCCGCAGAACTTGAGCACAAGAAATGAAAGGATGTCCAACCTAAAGTTTGCTCAAATTTGTGGACTAAACTAGGACCCAGAATGAGCTCAAATCTGTCTGTGATACCTTAAAATGCGAGTGACTCGACTTGAGTTTTCGAGATTTTCTTTTTTTTTCTTTGGCTTGTGTGATTTGGGATTATGAGCAACACTTTTTTAGCTCGTGAGCAGTTCTTCAAAAAAACGATGATTCAAGTTGGTTAGTTTCACTCCCAGTTGAAGTTTCCTGTCAAACCAAACAACAAACAAATACACTTTGTGTCTTTAAAACAAACCACTTTGCTGAGCCATTTCCATCTGCTAGCTTAATGCTAACACAAGTTAGCATCAATGTTGCTGTGCTTGAGCAACAGTTAAACGTTACAGCAACAGATGTAAAAAGACAAGTACATTAGTACCTAGTCGTGTATTCTTAATCCTCTGCATAGAATGACGAATCTTGGCTCCGTATTGAGAACCCGAGAGAGGAGCTAAACCTCCATACAGTATACCTGTATGTCTGCGCTTACATGTACTTTTGCTTCTCTGAGCAAGTCTACCCCACCCGCCCTTTTCCAAACAGTCTCTCCTGGAGCTGGTGTTCGGCGTAAAAGTGGTGATCACGGGCGATGCCTTCGTCCCTGGCGAGCGTAGCGTCATCATCATGAACCACCGCACGCGTCTGGACTGGATGTTCCTTTGGTGCTGCCTGCTGCGCTACAGCTACCTGCGCCTGGAGAAGATATGCCTCAAGGCCGCGCTCAAGGCTGTGCCCGGCTTCGGTAGGTCCAACCCTTTGACGTGCGCTTTTTTTTCCCAAATGGCCGCTGATAGAACTGCTGATGCTTTCCAGGCTGGGCCATGCAGGTGGCCTGCTTTGTCTTCATCCATCGTCGCTGGGAGAAAGACAAGGAGCACTTGGGGAATATGCTGGACTACTTCTGTGACATCAGAGAACCCCTGCAGCTGCTGCTCTTCCCAGAGGGCACGGATCTCACCGGTAAACCGCGATCGCTTTGGGTGATCTTTTGTGTCGAATCAGTTTGAAAATGGAACTGAAAAAAAAAATCTTTGCGGATGAAATTTTACTTGAAGGCCATCTGGCCCAGCTCCTATGGTTGCCCACACTTCACCTGCCACGGGACTTTGCGCCAAACACCGCTACGCAAACACGGTTCAACAGTGCGAACGCATTACCAAGTGCTTGTCATCACGCTTCCAGAATGCTCTGATGTCAAATGACACCGCCACCTCATGGCTCTCCCTTAAGCCGTGCCATGCAGAGTACCGCGACTCGCGTTTCTTTTATGTGGGTGGGGATGCTAAGTTTCTCTGCCTGTGTCATGATGTCATCTCAGGCGGGCCAGTCAAGTGACATCATAATGGGCCAAAGCTTTAGTTGTAGCTTTTGGTGACACACCAGTGCGTGTCCTCTTCTTGGGCTTATTTGGTACAACACTTTATCAAGCCCTCTTGTGAACCAATCAGTTCCAGGATAGTTGACCGTATTTTCCTCACTAAAAGGCGCTTCGATGTATAAGGCGCACCTTCAATGAAGGACCTATTTTAAAACTGTTTTCATTTAATATCGGGCGCACCGCATCATAAGAATAGAAGCTACAATAGTGGCTGGGGATGCCTTACGCATCCACTAGATGGAGCTACGCTAAAGGGAATACAATACAATACCATACCGCTTTATTGATAAAGCGTTTTCCCAACCACTGCAGCTGTAACAAAGCGCTTTACACAACATTTCAAATACTACGTCCAAGAAATCAGAATATTGATCCATAAAAAGGCGCATCGGGTTACAATGCGCACTGTCGGCTTTTGAGAAAATTGATTGCTCTTTGGTGCGCCTTATAGTGCGGAAAATACGGTAATTGAATGCTGTTTATCGCCAGCTTTATTCATGCTTATAGTTTACTCTGTGTTTTATTTGAGCGTGGCCTTGATTTGTAGAAATGTATTTTTAGTAACTTAAATCAGTTCTTCAGTGTATCAAAATAAAGACTGTTGTGGCTGATTATGCGTTACCATGAAGGGCTGTACCTTTTTGCCCCGCCTCCCTGACAACCTGTGCTGTCGGACCGGGGCTCATTGCGGCAGCACGAGACGATCGGCCGGGGTCTGATGGATATCAGACTCGTAGTGTGATCCGCTTGAATTCATGACACCATGTCTGGGGATCTGACATTGCAACCGTTGTGAACGACAAACTAAGTCATGTTGTCTGAGCTCGGTATTAAAGACACCTGTCGGTGCACAAATGTGTACGTGCGTGTGTGTGTGTGTGTGTGTGTGTGTGTGTGTGTGTGTGCGTGTGTGTGTGTGCGTGTGTGCGTGTGTGTGCGTGTGTGTGTGTGTTTGACTTTTGGCTTACCTCCACGTTATGAAACCAGGTTATCGGTTTACATTTAACATGTTTGATGTTTGTAAGGTTACATTTGACAATACAGTGGTAACTGCCGTTTAACAAAATGTAAGAAAATAAATTGTGTGCGTTCGTTGGTAGCGGGAACGGATCTTTTGCATTTCAATGGGGAAAATTGATTTTATCAAAAGGTATCAGCTAAGCTCCCGCCACTTTGTAGCTTTACAGATGCCATTAATACGTTTGATGGTGCTCTTTTATTACATTATTGTGTCCGCAAAATTCATATTTATTTTATTGTATTTTTTTCGATGTTCCAGTAGAGCTTCTCCCTAAACCCACCGAATCATACAACCCTTTATTGTACAGCAGCTTGGCTGCACATTTCCATCCTCAGTGATTTAATTGAATGAGAGAACCACAAGCTCCGAGTGAAGATGAACCGTCCCTCTTGCCCAAACGAGCTCCTCGTCTTACATAACCGTGACTAATGACTCACCATATAAGTTCCCCTCGATATGTTTGGTTCATAAACACTCATCTGTCTTTGTTTATTTCCTCTCTCTCTCTCTCCCTCTTAGTCTCTCCTTTACACAAACGTGCGTTTGTGCCAGCTGGAGCGTCGCTCACCGCCGTCTGTCACCAGCAGCACTTTAATGTCATTACGAGTGTTTTTGTTGATCGAAATAGGATAGTACAATTGTACTTAATACATCTGAAGTGTTTTTTTTTATGCACAGAGCGCCCCGTTCTCTGTCAACCGTTCTTCGTTTTCCCCGCAGAAAACACGAGAGTGCGCAGCGACGAGTTTGCCGTGCAGCACCACCTGCCCAAATACCAACACGTGCTGCATCCGCGCACCACCGGCTTCACTTTCATTGTGGAGCGATTGCGAAAAGGTCATCAATTAGTCCGTGTGTGTCTGGAACGATATCCTCTTGAAGCGGTATAAACCCGAAAACTGTGTCCTGCGTTCCCAGGAGACAACCTGGACGCGGTGCACGACATCACCGTGGCTTACCCCAAGAACATCCCGCAGACCGAGCGCCACCTCATGCTGGGCCTCTTCCCCCGTGAGATCCACTTCCACGTGCGGCGCTATCCCGTCGCCACGCTGCCCGCCGCCTCCGCCGAGCTGGAGTCGTGGTGCCGTGAGCGCTGGGCCGAGAAGGAGTCGCGCCTGCAGGACTTCTATTCAGGCCAGCCGCGGGCCTTCGACCGGGAGGGCGCGGCACGGGTGCCGCCGTGTAAGTCGGAGCTGCGCGTAGCGCTGATCAAAGCGGTCTCGCTGCTCTACTGGACCGGCTTTATTGCGCTTTGCTTCGCCGGCCTGTGGTTGTGGGCTCCCGTCAGGTTGTACTTCCTGGTGGTGGTGGGCGTGTACGTTGCCCAGCAGAAGATGGCGGGCGGGCTGGAGCTGGTGGAATTGGCCTGCCATCGCTATTGGACCTCTGTGGCGGCCAGTGGCGATGACAAGATGGCGGATGGAAAAACGCAGTGAGGACTCCTTTTGTGCGGTCCTCCTTTAGAAAGGGAATCACCTACAGGCTGCTTGCTTGACCTCAGCAGGAGCCTCAAGAGGGGCGTGTTGTCCACATCCCTCTTTTTGTCTCCTTTTATTACCTCCGCTTACTATGAATCGCACCAGACAACAAAGTTTTTGCAGGATGACGCATATGCTACCACCAAATTATTGGTGCAGTCCTGCGTTTCCAGTGCACGGTACTTGCTCGGTTTTGGTTCGTGTTCCAATTCATAATTGTCCAACAGGAATCAACGACGCTCAAACTTAACAAATTCTACTTCATTGAATGCATTTGTCAGAGACGAAACATGCCAACAAATTACAACAATCTAGAATGATTACTTAGAGACTGACGGCAGCAAAAAAAAAAAAAAAAAAAGTTTGTTTTGCGTTGGGTTTTCTCATTTAAAATAGTGCTGTGGGAAACTACAAAAGAAGAAAAACATTCAAAATAGTGCTGTGGGAAACTACAAAAGAAGAAAAAAAAAACACCGTTTTGAACCCATCTGTCGGATGAGGAGAAGGATGGTACCCTGTAATTAGTGCAATTTTATCCAAAAGGAGACACTAAGGGCAATGATACAGTCAAGTGGATGCTAGCATGTGCTTATTTTTGCTAGCAGCGTAGGCTCAAACGTCAACAATGGCAACCACGTAGTATCAGCTCACCTCAGTGTTGACCCGTGCTGACCACCGACTAGATACGATACTTGGCGCTACCATTTTTATGCTAAAAGCGAAGCGTCAATCGCAAATGGCGCCTTGTACGAGAAAGACGGCGACCGAGCAAAGCCCCGTCGACTCCGCGCATTGGAAAACAGGACAAGGGCCACCCCAGAGTTTCAAACCGGCAATTCGTTTTCTGTCGTCCTCCCTGAAGCAGGGCGTCAACTGCTACCCAATTTTCTCCACTTTTACTGACCGTGGGCGGAGGTCTGCGTTGCGTTAGGGTCCACTCGCACTGAGCTCATAGCACTGGTTTACTGTGAAGCCTACGTGTCGGGCTACAAAATGTGTGTTGGTTTGTTTTTGTTTTTTTGTCTTTTGCGTTCCCCTGGTGTCATAGACGATGGAGCGAAGCCATACAACCTCTACATTCTCTACAAGGACTCATCTATGTAAATGTATTTTCAAATACCTCCTACATGGGTAGAGTTTCGCTTTTATACAAAACTGAGGAATCGACTTTTCCTTGGGGGGGGGGGGGGTCTGCTCGTTTGTACAAGTACAAAAGCCAAAGGTGATCCAGAAAGTCAATACTTTGTGATGACAGTTGGCCATAGCAGTTCCTTGAGATTGGATGCTGATTTTAGTGTTCTTTTTGTTTTTGTTTTTTGTTTTTTTTGCTTTAAGCTTCAAGCAAATGTCCTTATTGGGAATGTTTTAGAGGCGGGTGTCAGGATGTTGGGACAACATGACCCTCCCACCCGCGACAGTGGTGCCACAGGAGGACCACCAGACTTGGAGTGGAAAACTGCCGCCCCCTGCCCCCCCCCTCCGCCCCCC